TTTCTGCGCAGCAGCCGTGGCGGGACTCGTCTCGCACACCTGGGACACAGCTAGCACGTCCTGTGCAGCGGTTTCAGGTTGTGCTTAAAGGTTTGGCCCCTTGATCTGTCCCAGCCCTAAACAACCCTCTTCCTCCTCTCTGCCGCATTTCCCACAGTTACCACCTCCTCCTCCAGCTCCACAGCAGCCGGCAGCTGCACAGAGCCGGCAGACTCCGTGCACAGAGCAGAGGAACTGAGCCCCTGTCAGCCTGCTCTGTGTCGGTGTGGAGCAGCAGGGACGGAGGAGGGAACCGAGCAGAGCACAGACCCACGTGCTGGAGGGGCTCACTGACAAGCCTTTCTCTTTTTCCTCCCATAATTTTCCTCCCATGAAATTAGAAGAGAGCCACATTTAATGACAGTTCTCTAAAATGCACGTTCCCCGCTGAATTGACATTGGGCAGAAAAAGTGTCTACAGAATCAATTTTTAATAAATGCAAACAACTAAATTATGAATGACAAAAATATCACTGAATGGTTAAATATTAATCATGTAATTACTTAAATTAATACTTTTAGTGCAATGTTGTGATAAAGGGTTTCACTCACACGGTGTTGCTGCGCTGGTGGCAGGAGCATGGGCCGGGTGGCGGGGGCCGCAGCACGGTGCAGGAGCAGAGGCTCTGTGGGTGCTTGGCGCAGTGATGCTGCTGATTTTCCTCCAAGCCCAACTGTACTTAGTGCTCCTGGCCCCTGGAACCAGATTTAGTAAGAAAGAACTTCAGTTTTCTGTTCAGAAAGGGAGCTATCAAGAAAACAGCTAAACTGGACCAAGAAGAGTAAGCAGTACCCCCCAAAAAACCCTCACCTCTCCCAGAGTGCTCCTGAACCTCCTGCCCCCTGATGTGCTTTGTGTGGCTCCACTGCCGCTGCTCGGCAAGCATCTTGGGAAGACAGAGTGCTCCGGAGAGCAAAAAGCCCTGACTGCTCCAGGATGGAGCTGGATAAGTCTCTCGATGAGATCATGTGTGGTGAGGCCTGCAGCAGGGCTGGATCCGCTGCCCTGTGTGCAGCTTCCTGTCCCGTGCTCACCTTTCGACAAGTGCTGCAGGGAGCCTGGAGTCCCCAGATGGAAAATGGTAGCGAGAGCTATCGGGGTGTGTGGGTAGCAGCGGTTGTCTGTAGATGCTTAAATGCAGCGCACAGCTTCCTTCCCTGTCCAAGGAGCTCAGAAAAGAATTTACTGGCGCTCTTGTCCTTGTGGGTTGGCTGGCTGTGCTGTTTGTTTTTAATCTAATAAAAGGAGATCTTAATATCATAGTGAAATCGGTATAAAGCTAGAAACTTGCCCCCCGGCATTTTGGCTAAACATTATTGAAAAAGGCAAAAAAAGCCTTCAGCAGAAACAACAGAAGCACAAAGAAATTGTAGAAATAGGATCAACAGGTTGTGTTCTAGATGCTGGGAAGAGGGCTGAAGAGCAGCCGGCTGGGCTGGAGGAACCAGGAGACCCACCAAGCGTGAGGCCGGGCACCAGCCCCCTCCTGGCCCGGCCCCACAGGGGCGTGCAGTCGTGGAGGCTGGGAGCTGGAGCCCTGCTAGGGTCTGGGTGGGCAGCATGCGTGGGGCAGTGGCCAGAAGCGGTTCAGGAGGAGAAAGGCAGGGCTGGGAAGAGCCTCGCACGGGGAGGACAGTGGGAAGCACAGTGAGATGTGGCCAGGAAGGCGGAGGCAGTGGGTAAGCAAGCTTTGTGACTGCTTTGATTGAGCCTGGCTTGGTCTGCTCTCTGGAAATTAAATCTGGGAAAAAAAAAAAATTAAAGCATTTTTAAATGCAGAAATGAATTGTCTCTTCCAAAAGGTGGGAATACTGCAGAAGCAGTCACTGCTGAGACTCACCCATCTCTGTAGGATCTAAGTGCAGCTCTTTATGCCTGGTCTGTGTTTTCCTCTGCCTTCCACTGCTTTACAGACAGCCCTGGAAGCACCACTCCCACATGCCATAAGCAAGCAGCAATTCCTAAAAAATGCCATTACCCACTTTGTCTGCCAGTACAGGGCACCAAGACTGCTCACAAAAGCAACCATTTGGGGTGACCATTGCCCAGTCCGAGAGCTGCAGCCGCTCCCCGCAACTCAGGAGCTCGCACCATGAGCTGGAGGGAGCCTGAGCCCTCTTGCCAGCCTGGCACCTAATGTCTGCTGGAACATCAAGTTTGCACAGTGCAAAGCCATTCCTGTCCCCTTGCACTCGCTGATGTCCCGACAGCCTGCACATATTTCCCTCCCAAACTTCTTTGCATGTGGCCTTGTCTGCTATGCAGCCTTGGACCCCATCCACTGAGCGCATCAGGGTGCAGAGCTGTCGGTCACTGTGTGTCCATGGCTTCACAAAGCCCAGGTACAGCCAACACGCAAAAATTTCCTCAAAGATGTCAGTTGGGTTCACTTTGTGCTCTCACAGCGTTGCATTTTCTGATAGACTTACTGCAGGTACAGTTTGTACTGGTGAGGAGGGAGAAGCAGGAGCACTTTCTGCATGCAGCATTACAACATTGCTGCAGTGAAGCTTGTTCTTGGAACATAGCGGCCCCCTAAAATGTCAAATAAATCCTTAAACTATTCATCACTCTGTTTTTGGGGTGGCAGTTAAGTCTTTCAACACTCTGCAAGTTTCTTTCCCCAGCAGTAATTTTGCTGGTGAAGAAATACAGCTCAGGGCACTCCACAAAGGCTTCAAAATTCATGTTTTGTTTTCATTACCAAAAAAAAAAATATGCTTCACTACATTAAAGAGCAGCCTATTAAAATTTTGTATCCTGTCTTCCCTGCGTCCTTTCTTTGTTGGCAAACCTTCCCTCCCTCATATGCACCAAGGAGCTGAACAGCAGCCATCGCTTTGGTTTGCAGACTTCACAGAAAAAGGGCTGTGAAAGGGAGGAGGTTTGAGCCACAGCCCAGCTTGTTTACGGAGTAAGTAGGAAAGATGAGTTCTCAAAAGTTTTGGTAGCCACACAAATACTTAATAAATGCACCTACCATACTGAACACTAAGTAGCTCTAGCTGCTTTCAGGCTAACCCAGAACAGCACACAGGCTCGTGTGCATGTCTAAGGAAACAAATTAACTGTCTGGCTCCTGGACTAAAATGTAACGCTGTACCAAGCAATATATTTAGCTGTCTCAGGCAAAGAGACCTCAAATAACAATAAAAAGGAAAATGAATTACTGGAGGCTCGCCGAACCTTGCGATTATATAAATTAAGAGTTGCAGTGTGAGCTGGATTGTTCTGATACAGTTGAAGAGCTAGAGGTTGAAGAAAAACAATAAATGCATTATAATTAAGGTTTAGGTTGTTTGGTTATTCTCTTAAGTAACTCAGAGTAGCCAAACGCTAGCACAGGTACGAGGGAAGGAGAGCAGGCAGTGAAACCTGCTACTTGCATAAGAGGGGAAAAGGGTTTTTAGCTGAGTTCAGGGGGGAATTGCTAAGTTCAGTTTTACTTGATATCTCATTTCATTCCGAAATTCATTTAGTGCCACATGAATTAAATTTGCAACTACATAAAAAAGCTGGAAGATCAGACCAAAGTGCAGCTCTGGAGAGCGAACCTCACCTGTGTTGCAAGGCCCCCCAGCCCAAAGCAAGCCGAGTGTGAGCGCGGGGCAGCTGTGAGCATCAGCCCCTCCAGCACATAGCCTGGGGCTTGCCATCCCCAGCCCTGCTGGGGCCCTCTCGCACCTCTCGCCCATGTCCCTCGCTGTGGGGCTGGAAAGCAGGAGCACAGCCAGGGCTGTGCCACTCAACTCGCCAGCGGTGCTGGCTGTTGCCTTGGACAAGGGGTTGGTGGGCTCGTTTTCCACAGTGGGGAAAAGCCCTGCCCTGGTCGCAGCGAGGAATACTGGGGCATTGCATAGCTGAGTCTAAGGGACGATGCTCGACAGTGAAATCTGGCGGGCTGTGGAATAGTCTCACTGGGAAATGGTGGAGTCCTCACTGGCAGGGTTATTTAAGACTCGACTTTGAAACACGAGACACTCTGCAGTTGGGAACAATGCTGCACTGTCAGAGAGATGGACTCAATTACTTAATAGGTCGTTGCTGTCTGTCTCCTGTGATTTTCCTTTCAAGAACATATATTCAGCTGGGTTATTTCTCATGGGAAGACAAAGCCTTCTGAAAGAAGCCAGACATTTGGAGGGAGAGGCGGGAGGAAGTGCAGCCCGGCAAATGCCCAGCTTGCTTTCTGCAGTGTACTGTCAGGACATGGAGAAAACTGTCATGGTGCAGCTGATGGGGTGTTTTGGTCCTGCTCACACCTACCCAGCTGGATCTCTGCTCTCACGTGTCTCACCTCCTTTTCTTTGCTCAGGAAGGGTTTGCCACGTCGCTGTTTCTGCCAGGCACTGATGCGCAGCCACTGGTGCCAGCTGCGGTCCCGCAGGCAGAGCTGCAGATGCTGTATGGGCTGCTGGCATGCCCAAACATGCAGCTCTGAGGGGGCCATCCAGCTCATGGCAGCGCACTGGAATCCCTCCTTCTGACAAGGAAATGCTCTGATGGCCTTTGGTCAAAACAGCAGTGCAGCTGGTGCAGAAGCTCATATCCAGGAGCCCATCTCTGCGTATCCGTCTAGTTCTCATTCACAGTACCTGCTGAATGGGTGCATAATGTACCCGGTGAGATGTGTTCTCTCCAAAATTAGCCAGCCAGCCACAGGGTGAGAACTTTGTAGGCACTTCCCTTGCTGGGGCTGAGGCTCATTTGCAGCCCTGATTCAGGGCAGGACGAGCTGAGTGCTAGGAGCAGTTGCGGGCAGGCACTGTGTGAGCGTGTGTGCACACATCTAAGGCTTCTGTCTTGGTGCCCTTGTTTGCATTTGTCACCAAATTAAGATACTGCATTACTTTATGCACATTGAATTGATGCAGCTAGATTGGCTGGATGTTTTTAAGCCCTGAGGGTGTAATGAGATTTTGTCTCTTTTGCCCATTTCTTTTTTCTTTTCTTTTTTCAGAATAAGTCGTCTGTTTAATGGCACTGAGCCTATTGTCTTGGACAGTTTAAAGCAACATTATTTCATTGATCGAGATGGTGAAATTTTCAGATATATATTAAGCTTCCTAAGGACATCTAAGCTACTGCTCCCAGATGACTTTAAGGTAAGGAAAGCTACAGTCTGCCATCTATTTCCACCACCCCCATTTTGTCATTTATTTTGGAGCCGGTTGGGTTGTGTGCTTGACCTAAACACACTTAACTAAATGTTGCTGTTTATTGTTAGGATTTTTAGGACTTGTGTATTACACTAGGGATGCTGTTATTTAATAAATGGACCAATGGTTGTCATGGATACCATAAAAAGTTAAACGATGAAGCTTACGGCTAAATCAGTTTTTCTAAACTAATTGTATTTTCTCACATTTTTAGCTTATTTATCAGGGTATAACAACAATTAAGAAACAACACCAGCAACTGGCACTTACCAGGATTTAATATTCAGAACCTGAAAAAAATGTTTTAAATTTGATAGAGGAATTAAATTGTGTCAGTCTGTTTCTTGTTGGTATGAAAAAGAAACAACCTTAAACAAACCCAGGAGGGTTTCTGTTAGATACAACCAATGCAGATACTTTGATTTCAACAAGTAACCTTTCCAGAATTTATGAATGACAAAATATTTGTGGGAAATGGAATTTATTGAGGGTTTTTTAAGGAGCAATATGTGCTTTCTATAAAGTCATGATGCTGGGTTGCTTTGCAAATCCTGATTGTTTAAACCCTCTCCTCCTAGCCTTGTTTATTTGGCTTTGCACTTAAAAAACTTGCAACATTGTCATCCTTATGTATGAAAATTAGAAGACAAAACTATCCAAACTAGATGACAAGATTCAACAAAAGAGCTAACTCCAGGATGAAATGATGAATAAATTTGAGTGCTAATGGGGATCCGCTCAGATCTAGAGAATACAGAGCGTTACTGGAAAGGAACGTTCTCGCGCTGGGTAGTAAGGTTTTATTTCTCACGTTGGACTAAGTAGACAAGGTAATTTGGCCAGGCCTTACTGAGTCATTCCAAATTTATGGTTGCTGTGGGGTTTCAGCTTTGGAGTACAGCTGATCCTTTTGCTGCAGACGGCCCTCAGCCATTTTTGCCTGAATCAGGAGTACAGCTGGATTTGACACCAGCAAATGAGCATTTAGAAGTTAATGCAGAGCAGAGGCGCTGTGCAGTGGGAGCATACATCTCGTGCCGAAGCAGGGGAGAAGTTTTGGAATTCACAGGTGGTTTTGAAGACCCAGCCCAAAAGGGCTGTCTCGGGCACTGGTCTCGGGAGCGCACGGTGTGCTGTGACGCAGGCTGAGAGGCAGAGCACACGGGGTGGATGCGAGAACAGAGAAATAAGAGCAAACACGCAGGTAGGAGTGAAGCTAAAGACCTGTGGGTTGCAAGATGGAACAGGTAAAGAGGGTGGATGGGGAAATGGTACAGATGAAATGCCAGAGAGGTGCTTTTGCAGCAGTGTTTGGGACAGTGTGGTGGCACAAGGATTGAGAAGAGAGTGTAGAAGAGATGTAGTTTGTGCTGATCATGGCCTTGACTGGCACCCAGGAGGACATTTCAGAAGTGCTGTAAAACGAAACCAGCAAAATTCAGTAAGAGCCTCAAGGTGAGAGCGGCAGTGGATGCCAAGGACTTGTCTGCACAGCGAGCCGCTGGCAGGGCTGGGAGAGACTTGGGAGAGCCGGCGCTGTGCCCATACTCGGTCCGTTGTTCCAGACCATATCTTTGCATAGGGTTAACTGTATTTTATTTGGTTCCTCCCTGAGAGCTTTAGAGCAAACCTCAGGCTAAGGAGGGCTCAAGAACAAAGCAAAGTATTGCTAGGTAGGGAGTAACTAAATAAAAATGCATAGAAGAATGCGCTGCAAAGCTGTATTAAAACTGCATTGTAAACGGATTTGACTTCACAGAAATCGTGTAATTTTACCAGCATGATTAAAGTGACAGAAGACAATAATCAAAGGCAGCAAATGGAATCACTTGGTGTTTCTAAATGCAAAACTCTATTTAAGGTATAAAACCTGACAGGTTTTCCAGTGAGACTTGCATTAAATGTTCTTTATGTCAAACAAAGCATTATCAAGTGTTTTGAATATTTATTAGTTTTTACCCCTTAATTTAATCAAGCAATTTATTAGCCTCAAGGTTTAGCCAAGTTGCTTTTCAACTTGAATTGCTGCTCAGATGGTTATTTTGGAAAGTTTGGAATGTTAGTACCACACCAACCTTACTGCGTTTGCTATTTAAGTGTTGTTTTCAGACTAAGTTAACACTGAAATGCAGAGAAAGTGGAGTATGTGTTCCTAGGCTAGTGATTCTCTATTATCAAGTTTGACTGGTGTGTTTACAGCGAATATTAATTACACTTCCAACTACTAATAAGCCAGAACTTGAAGCTGTTCAGTATCTGACAGGTCTCCCTGCTGAAAGCAACATTCTAATAGTTCATATAATTTTTGTGGGCTTGGGGGATTTTAAGCCACATTAAGTATGCAGAGAAATTACCATGAGCTGTTGGCTTGGTTCTCCTTTGCAACCAGCCTGTGCCGAATGAGGTGATAGTGAGCGGTCAGGAGCTGCCTACAGCTCCCTCCTCCTGCACAGGCTCAGCTCCATGCACGGGTCGCTCCACTGTGGGTGACAAATGTCCTCAAGCAAAGCGTGGAGCCAGCACCCCGGGTCTGCCGTGCTGCAGGGTTAGGGCGCCTCTGGCAGAGGAACGGACCCTCCTGTGCAGCCCAATTATCTGCCTTGACTCCCCCCATCAGAGGCGTTTATCCAAAACATTTATGACCGCCATCTGTTCCCTTTAACGGCAAAATACCTTCACACAAAACCAGGACCACGCTGTACCTACTTACTTGAGACTCACTCCCTTCTTAGAGATCTTCCAACAAAAATAGGTGTAGGCAATGTGTATATCATTATTTGATCTTAAGAAGGGGAAGAGCACAATTGCAGAGGACATTTGAGTTTCACATGGGTTATAGAGGTCATCTGTAGGGCCAGGAGCACAAAGCTGGCACTCTGTTTTATTAATAGAGCTTTTCGATTAGCATGCCTGTCTAGTTTTAAGTGCTCTTAGACTGACCTTAGCAAACAGCACGGTTGTCATAGTAGAAGTGAGCAACTTGCTCTCATATTCAGAAGGCAGATCTTCCCAGCACTAAAATATAAAAGAAATGTTGAGTCAGGATAACAGTTTCATGTAAACAAAGAATAACAAGTGAAAAATGAGTAGAAGGAGCTACTTCAGCCTGCTCAGGAGTCAATATGAGGTACAGAAGTAAAGAATCTCTAGCATCAGGTTCATGCAAGACATGTTTTTGCTGTTTCTGTTGGCTCTCTCTGCTTGTAATTAGTAGATCTTTACTGACACGCTGGCATTGATGTCAAAATAGCACAACTTGCCTTGAAATCACACTTCCTGTCTCCTCCACAGGAAGATGTGACCCTTATCAGAGGTGACTGCTGAATTTAGCCAACACGAAATCCCCCCAGAAAAAAAAAAAAAAAAGCTTTTCTACCAAATCATGCACAGAAAACGATTTTGTGTAAGCCAAAAGGCTGCATGTTTGAACAATCTGTTGATCTTTCTCCTGAGATCTAAATGCAATCCAGAGTTTGAGGATGGAGAAAGGCTGTGGGGATCGTGTCTGGCTATAAGCTCCCTCTTCCAGGTCACTGGACAGAACTTCCCCACATAAACTCCTACCACAGCCATGAGAAGCTGAAGGGTCATGGTGCTGCTAAGGGTTCACAATAGCCACACCGCAGCTAGCAGGGACTTGGGGATGGGAAACCTTGTCCTGCAGGATGAGGAGCTCCTGAATATCATGCAAAACCTGTTCTGGGATGCTGCAGGCTGCTTGGCAAAACTTTGCTATTAACAGGTACTGTCCAGGGGTGCCGGAGCCTCTATGAGAGAAAGAGAGAGGATGTATGCATCCATCATCATACACCTGGGACAGAAGCTGTACCAGGCTGCTCTGAGGCTGAGTTTCAACAAAACAGTGCGCACTTTGCCACTGTGCTAAGCAGTTAACAGCCTGTAGCTACTCCTGTTCCTGTTTCAGTGAAATGTGCCTTTTTTGGATAGGTCTAAGAAGATTCGTGTCTGCATCTGCCCTTGGTAACTTATCCAAATAAGCAGCATGGAAATTTTTTTCTTGCAGCTCCTGTGGCACCTCCTTGGCAGGGGTGCCTTGTGGTTAAATTCTTGTACTTGATATTTTGTGTTAAACATTTGCAAGTCATCTGGGTATGATTTTTTTTTAAATCTGTGGTGCAAGGAAATATGTGTCAGTGTTACCTGAGCATCCTGAGCATGTTGTGTAGGCAGTCCAGAGCTGAGCACCACTTCTGGTCCAGCTGCACAGTTCTCTGAATGGCTTATAAAACCTGCATGAGAAGACAGTGTGTTAATAAGCATGTTGAGTCAATTATTCTGCCCAAGCATGAGCTTTTAGAGAATTAGACCCTGCACTTTGAGCCACTCATACTTTCTTTCCTGGTTTTGCGAATACAATGTAAATTTCCTTAGTGGTGCTTGAGCTGCTCAGTGCAGAAGTGCCAGATTTCCAGTTACAGGAAGCAGAAGGGTACCTGCATCACTCTGGGGACAGATGGGGAAGAGCTTTTTCATTTGAAAACTGGTCACCGTCTTACCGCAAAATGATACCAGAATTTGTCTGGTTTATTGTAGAATAAGTGATGATTAGCAGGAGTTACTAAAGAGTTGCATTTCATGTGGTGGGCTAGTAGATAGCTGTGGGGGAAGATGGGATGGTGTAATCCTGATTGTGTTTGCTTTATGGCATTACTGTTATGGCTGGGGCTGCAGGACTGCTGAACTCCCGTGATCTAGGATCCCACAACCTAGCCCAAAGCCCAGTGAAGTCAGTCAAAAAAACTCATGAATGTAGTGGGCTTTGCATCCTCCTGCCCAAGGAATGCCATGCCTCCGTTTGCTTTCAGAAATGAAGGACTGTTTTTTCATATGGCTGTACCACCTCTTCTAAATTTAACTGTTGAGTTTTGTTAACACACATTCATTGCTCCTACAAATAATGTTATTTTATAGTGACCATGAACAAAAATATTCCAGAACTGGATTCTCAGGATCTATTGAAACAGTTCCATTGACTTGTGAGCACTGCATGGTCTTGCTCACCTCTACGTTTCATTTTTCTTTAGCACTGCATGCTTTCCTTTGCTCAGCAAAGAGGCATGTGGGACCAGCAGATTCACAATAAACATCTGACAGGTCCCTTGCAAACACCTCTGCAGCAAAGAGCTATGTGGGGGACTCAGTTGTTTCCATGTCCTGCATGATGAATTCAAAAAGTTTGGGGCAGAGGTCATTTTTTTGGTTTGAATTTCAGCCACTGATCCAGTGAGCAGGGAGCTGCACAGGTGGAGAGAAGCAATCAGTAATGGTTCAGCAAAGCATGCTGATTTGGGGGGGCAAAATTACCTTCCTCTGGCTCCTGGGCTGGTATTACAGGGGATGGGATTTCGGGGCTGGCACTCTCTTACCTGACTCCAGGTGATGCAGGGAGTATCCACACCTCTCTGGCTGGCTAGGTGCTAACTCCAGCTTATGTGCAGCATGCTTCCTGTATGATTTCTTCTTTAATCTTCCTGTTGTTTTTCATCTTCTGGCTCCTTCTCTTGGGTGTGTTTGTTGCCCTCATTTTTTCACACTTGCTCTTATCACCCCAGTGCCTTCTGCAGTCCTTTTTTCTCCACTACTGATGTACATATTGTCCCAGCCCTAACAGACATCAAAGAGATGTAAAGGATCGGATGTCCCTTTTGTAACGTGATAACCTTGCTAGTGTCATTGTTAATATTCATATATCTCCAGGCTCTAGGCAGCCCTGGGGTGAACGAGCACCGCTCCACTACTGGCACTGGGTCTGTGGTGCCAAATTTGAACACAACTAACTGCTTTGGTTCAATAATAATATCCTGCAGCAGAAGATTTTACAGGTTAATTCCATGCCGCTATGAAAAGTTGCACCTCATGCTATATATTCAAGGGCTTTTGATTCTCTTTCTTCCTTGAGTTCTGGAGAAGTGCTACATGTTAGTTTTTACGTAATTTTGATGCCCATTTCCTGATAACTTATTGTCATTCCCTTCTTCCCAGCCTAAGCAATTCCAATAATTTCACTCATGAATTTTCATTTCTTCTCATGCTGTGGTAGAGAACTGGCCTTTATGTCCAGGTGTTAACCCACAGCACGCTCCCAGAAGTCGCACCATGTACAAACCATGCAATATTTCCATCTGTGAGTAGGCAGAAGAGCCAGAGGAAGCAAACAGCAGGTCTTCACAGAGGAGCTGGTGCTCTGCCTCTGCTGCTCCTCTTCCCTTCAGGAAGCTGAAGGAGGCAGCAGGGCTGGCGTAAGCAAACCAGCCCCATGTGCTTCCCCACCTCGTTCTTCTCTGGCTCAGTCTGATGGCACTGCTGTGACTGCTTTGGGTCTGGGGAGCTGCTGCTGCCCTGCTCCTCAGTCTGCACTCTTGCATTTAAGCTGAGGTGAGAAGATCTGTTGGAAATCTGGTGAAAAGTTATTAATGAGCACATGCAGGAGACATCTCAGTCAATTAACTGGGAATTGGATCAGATTGGGAATTTGAATTGCCCGAGGGCCCAGGTTAGGTTATGACCAAGTGGCTGGAAAGAACACTTCCTTTCAAGTTGTTGGAGTACACAGCTGAGCTCCCAGCCACTGGGATGGTCACTACATCAGTATAATTTGCTGAGCTCCAAAGTGTGCTTTAAATATGTGAATAATCACATAGGGAGCAGCTGAGCTTCTGCAGCTGAATTTCAAATGTGACAAAGACAGGTGAGAAGTGAGAAGCTGAACTGACATCTCCATCTTGTAACACGTATGTGAGGGATGACAGCACAGCCCAAGAAATTCTGTTGTAAGATCAGAAGTGAGTATCTGAGGCCAAGGGAAGATTAGGGCTCAGGACATCTTCTCTTACATCAGCAGGCTTTGCTTACTGCAACCAGTTATTTTGATTTCTTAATCCAAAAGTAAAGCCTTCTGGCATTGAGCTTGTGGGATAATAAATGAAAGAATAATTCAGTGCAATGGGAACTTCACGGTCAGCTTGAATAAATTCAACAGTAACACACTGTGTGGTTTTCTGTGTAGGTGTTAGACAAAGACAAAGTATACGGATACCTGTTGCCTTTGCACTCTTGCTGACAATACATAAGCCTAAATAGGTCAAACAGGAACAATACTCATTTTTAAAAGAGAACTATAAGCATTTCTAGTTTCTTTTTTTTTTTTTTTTCCCAGGACTTTAATCTTTTATATGAAGAAGCAAAGTATTACCAGCTGCAGCCAATGATTAAGGAACTTGAACGATGGAAACAAGAGAAAGAACAAAGGAAACATTTCCAGCCTTGTGACTGCTTGGTTGTAAGAGTGACTCCAGATCTGGGGGAAAGAATTGCATTGAGTGGGGAGAAAGCTTTAATAGAAGAGATCTTCCCTGAGACCGGGGACGTCATGTGCAACTCCGTAAACGCAGGCTGGAACCAGGACCCTACCCACGTTATTAGGTTTCCTTTGAACGGATACTGCCGGCTGAATTCAGTGCAGGTAATGGTCTTTCAGTGCTGGCTCATCTAGATGCTGGTGTTTTTGTTTTTTTTTTTTTCCTTAATGTTATTTCTTGTTCAATTATATGCAAATTATTTGCTTCTGCCCAATTACCTTTAGTGCTTATACTGCAAGGAGACATTTTCTGCCTGGTGAGATCACAGTCTTTCAGGTTTTCCTAAGTCTAAGCAGAAAAATAGATTTAGATTTTGTGTATGTTAGTGCCATGCTGGTCTCATAATGGTGTTATACTGATAAATGCTAATTTTTTCATCAATGTATAGCCTGCAGCAGTTTTTTTTCCCTCCAAAGTGCCCCCAGGAAGAAAGAGAGAGTTCCAAAAACTACAAAAAAAAATCTCCACACCATTTTATAGAAAATGCAACAATGTGTAAATGCATAATTTATGTCTCACTCATAATTAAATGATGGTGCCTGCGGGATGGACTTAAAAAAATCGATCTCTGCACTTTTTTTTTTCAAAAGGATGTTCTATAAAAATTGCCCAGAGTATTTTAAACAAAATGTATTTCATTTTATAGTCAGAGTTTTGACATTAGGTTTAAAATTAAACATATGAAACAAAAGAAGATAACTGGACAGATAGGTGGATAGTGGCGGAAATAAATATGTGGCTGGTGTTTAGGCAGCAGCCTTGTGAGCAAGAAATGCCATTTTACAGGGGATCACCACCACTGTGGCCAGAGCCTTGGTGTGGTAGTTGTCCTTGGGCTGAGGAGAAGGAATGGTGTTGATGATGCTGTTAACGTATGCCTTAATGGGGAAAACATAGAGCTCTTGTTTTTTGCATGTATGCCTTTAAAATATGCTACAAAGAATAATTTAATTACAGAAAGTGAAATCAGCCTAAAGGGGGGTGTTTTCCAAGTCACACTCTGTAGGTGACTACAGAGGTCCTAGCTGGGCCGTGGGAAATGCTGTAGTGGTCCTGATAAACTTCCTTGCAGGCAAATACCCACAAAAGAGCTGGCCTATGAGACAGGCCGGCTGGGCAGGTTCCGGAGGGAAGCATAGCCAGGGAGTGGAAGAACTTAAAGTAATTTTTTCCCAGTATTGTTATTATACAGCAAGCTGAGGTCCCCTCCATCTCCCAAGCTGCCAGCTGACAACGTTTTTGGGAGACCTGCAGTTGCAGCTATATGTAAACGTGGGTGGGGCAGTTCTAACAACCTACATTGATGCTGACACCTTCTGCCATGGGACAGCATTCACTGATAACACTATGTTAATAGAAGCTTTTATCTGAAGCCATTGTAAAACCTAGCAATGTTAGGTGATTTTTGGTTCAAGACTCCCAAGTGTTTCATTTGGTTGAATTTAACAGTCCAATGCCTGTGGTTAATTTTGCAAATCTTTAGCAATTTCACGTTTGGCAAGGTTTAGAGTGGGCTGCCCCAAAAATAGAAGGCTGGAGGTGGGTCGGAGGCAGATCCATTCACTGGCAGTGGGAACAGTGATGAATTCATCACTGTGCTGGAGAAGGGAGCAGCTGCAGTTCAGGTAAGGTGAGTGGGTAGAGAAGCATGTTTGTGTTTCAGCCACACGCTGTCCATGTGATATGGTTAGATGCATTTGAGAAATTAGAATAACTGAAACAATAAGAGTCCTTGCTGGCCACTGACAGGCTCGGCACTGCAAGCAGCTATTCACAGAGCTGGATGCCCAAATGGCTTAGCGCTTGGCTCCATTAAGTGGCATACTGGTAGGAAGCGTGTGTTTGTAGTAAAAGCTGAATGCTAATCATTACTACTTGAATGTGTTTCAAATTCAGTCAAAATTTTGTCAGAATCAAAGAGTCTCTTAGTAGGTTCATGTGAAAGAAAATTTCTGTGTTAAAGAATCTGCAGTCTAAATAATTTATTCAATTACATCATTTTACTATATAATTAATAGAAAGTGTTTTCAATCACTTTCTGAAAAATGATGCATTTCTGAGACAAAAGTCCAACAAGATTAACAGCTAATTATCATTGACTGTGATGGACTCTGGTCAGCACATAGGCACTCTCTGTTACCTTCCCACTATTTTTTGGCAATCTTAATTGTTAATATTAAATCAAAAGTTAAAAGTACAATGAAGTAAATATGTAGAGTTACGGAAGAAAGGTTTGAAGGTGCAGAGGTTGGAAGAGCAGAGTCATTTCCAAAGAATCTGAAACACTGGCCTGGTAAGTCTGCCCGCTGCTTATTGAGCTGCATCACTTTTGTCCCTCTACACCCTGCTTAAATGGATTTGGTAGCACAACTACAATATGTATAAATTCTTCAGATCTTTGAAAAAGATTTTTGCTAAATGCTTTGCATCAGGAACTGTACATACAAAACACAGAATATCAACAGTGAGTAGGTTGTGGCAGCCAAAAACCATAGCAGCTCTATATTTAATGCTCATTTGCAATCACATACTGATAGAGAATTTTCTTAAGACTGAGAATGGCTTTTTTCAGCTCCTCACAATAGGTTCTGGTGAGATACATGAGCTTACCTTAGAGAAAATTCTGTGATGTCTGTATATGCCAAACAACGAGTCTCCATAAATAAGACTGTATTCTTCAGGATTCTGTAAAATGTAAATAAAATACAGTAAGTGCAAGTATCATATTTCTATTTGGAAAACCTTCCAACAAAATCAGAGCCTGTATCCTGATGTGCTCAGAATACTGGGAGACAAAGTATATTAAATCTTAGCACAAATCCTCTATTTAATATAGTGTGCATGTCTCCCTATAAGTAAGAGAATCACAGCTGATACTCATTTACTTTTTGGCATATTCTCTTTGGAAATTTATAGGAAAGTAGCTCTGATTTTATTTACAGGCACTTACTGTTTTACCTCCGTCTGTCACTTACCTTCAGAAAAAGTAATGCACGTAAGGCCAAATTCACTAAATGGAATCTAAATCTGTTCATGTTCAACATGCCGTTTAGTCTCATGCATGCATTAGTGGATACAAACAAATGCTTAGGGCACATGGAAAGCAGCCTTTAGGAGGCTTTCTCCACAGAGCTGAACACAACCTCATTCAAGTTATAATTGCAGTTCTACAATATTTAAACATTCACAGCACTATTTACAGGATTTGACCAGTTTTGTTTCTCACTCAGAGGACTGATGATACCGAGGTTCTTAACACTAGATTATAGCCTGCAGTCAAGTCCTTCGAGCACAGAGGTAACAAAAATGAATTGCTTTGTTCTGTGTGCGGTGCTCTAAGGGTGTAATGTTTACCTGGACTGTGTGTTTTCAGAGAGCTGGTCCAGGAAAGAAAAGTCCTATAAACATGCAGCCTTCCATAGCTTTGGACTGAGGCAAGCCTAGGGCACCCCAGTGCTGGTTTTGTCTTACAACCAAATTGATTTTTAAAAGTTTTTAGCAAGGTTTTAAAGTCATGTCTCTCTGAAATTTTACCTGTCAATTCTCTGTTTCTCTATCCAGCTAGTGGAAGAAGTCTCCTTTCCTGTAGCTGGGCAGCCTCCTGTACTCATCTTGCCTGATCTAAGAACAGGGATACACAAAGTCAAAACACATGCTAGCCTGTGAAACAGCTTGATGATGTTTTATTCCTTTTTCCCTGTCAAACTACTGCCTTTTTTTAGCAGGAACAAATAAAACAATATTGTGGCCTCTCTGTATCACTCCAGTTCAGTCCTAATGGCTTTGTGCAGCCCAAACAAATTACAGAGTTGTAAGCTTTTTGGGTTTTAATTATTTTAGCCCCCTAGCCTCCTGTCCCCCTTTAATCACTCCATTATTATTTTTTTTATTTATATATTTTTTAAGCCTTTTCAGTTCTACAACTTTCAGGGCAAAAGTCAGTAAGATTTGGCTGGCACAAGTTTCTGAGACTATAAGTCACTTTCTCCCAAAGCCAGGCAGAGCTCCTTGGGCAAGCTGATTTAAGCAGATTCTGCATGGCTGAATATATTTCTTGTCCTTTACCAGTCCTTAAGAGCCAGGGCAGCAAATACAAGTTTTTAGTTAGATACGTTATCACTAGAAACCCGAAACTGATTAAGATGTGGATGGCTAACAGACAACCTCAAAGGAGTGCTCTCCTGGATTATAAACAGCAAATGCTGCCATGGTTTGCATTGCACTACCATAGTGCCTTGGATACAGTTGTCCTTTTGAAATCAGTTACCTTTAATAAAGGCTCCAAACTGGTGCTTCTGGAGCAAGCAAAGCAAGCATTCAGTCAAAAGAAATTGCGCACCTTGGCCTCACATGGGTCTTTGTGCAGGGGTGGACAGACATCTGGTAGGATAATCTTTAACACGTGGCACTATTTTTAGTCCCCCTGTAGCAGTCATCTCGTGCCTTGAAACATTTAGACTGAAGCACTACTGCAGTAGGTATGAGCAAAGTGTTTCATGGTGTCACTCATGGTAAAACAAAAAAAGAAATCAAATTGTTTCTGTAATAGAAACCTGTGAAAGCATACAAGTTTTCTCCTCTTTAATTAGGGGATACTGCTTAGACACTTAACTAAGTTGAGTGAACAAGTTTTTAATTTAGTCCCTGCAGTTGTTGGTGGCAGACAACTCTCCTGTGAAGGTCATTACTAGGTTCATCAGGTTTAGTAAATCACCAGGTTCACGTCCCACTGTAGTGGCCCTATGGCATGGAGCAGTGGAACAGGTACTGCGGTGGGACTGTTACGCGCTTGATGACATTTTTGAGTAGAGACAAACACAGGAACCGCTTTTCCTGCCTCTAAAGTAAATATTGGATCAGTTCACATAATCAAATTTTAGACATAGTTCTGATTTTTCAGTTACATGCTGCAGTATTATTAGTGTTACTAGCCTATGTGGTATTTTGGCTCAGTGCTATGGCACCATGGACTCTGGGAAAGATTTGGCTGGAGGAGTACTAGATGGAGATTTCACATGTGGGTGAGACGATTGCCATTATTCAGCCTTATTCAGCCAATCTTACAACATACGTCTGGTTCAGCTCTGCCAGATGTAACACAGCAGAGCCTTGCCCATCCTCCTACCCCCTGTAATACACAGGAATTGCCCGAGCTCCAAAGGGTGTATATGTGTCTTCTGTCGTGCTGAGACTGTCATTTTTGGAGACACGGTGCTACTGCCCTGGGCTCAGGAGAGCTGCCAGTGGGAGGGAGGGAGGGAGCATGGCATCTCCTCCAGTGGATCTTACACTGCAGATCCGCCAAAGATGGATCTGGCATCCAGTCTCACCGAGTGCTAAGAAGAGTCTGTGCGCCTCCTGCTCTGCTGGGGAAACTGTTTATCAACATGCTCACCCGTGTGAAAACAAGGCCCCCGTCATATTGCCAAGATCAGTATATCCTGGGGTAATGTGCTGTGTGACAGTCTCAGAAATTAAAGTTGCCTCTGGGTTCCTTAAATTCATGAATCTAAATCGCACCAACTTTTCTTTAGAAGGAGAAAAAGAAAATATATATTTGGGCAATAAAAATTAACCTCTTTCTTGGGCCAGAATGTTTCCTTATTGTCCATGTCTTGGCTCCACATCCTATCCTTGCCATGCTTTTCTAAAAGCAGCACTCCCTTCCAGCAAGGGAAAATCACAGCTGTGATTTTCACGAAGATCTGGTGGAAGTGTCACTCAGATTCCTAATGCCTTTTCATCTGCCAAGGAAGAACACAGAAATGTTTTCTGCCCCTTTCTGTGAGACTGTTCATATTACTAATGAACAATGGGCACTTTTTATTAGGACTTAAACCGTATGTTGATTTGTATCAGCTGTAAGAGAGAGCATCAATATCACTGCAGTCCAGTATTTTACTATATAATGTAGTAAGCTGCTCTGTAGAGTGCTTATTTGTTTGATTAATTTTTGTTTTCTACAGAGGTTTGCTGAAAGCGAGACTTTAATCACAGTGTAGTCATTTAAGAATAAGTTACAGAATTATAGCTGAATAATATTCATTCTATGAGGAGTCGAAAGACTAAATTCGTCATTTAGATCCAGTGCTCCTGAAAGCTTTTATCACTAGCACTTGCTAAATATTAATCTGATTTTTTTCCACATTACAGGTGCTCGAAAGATTATTTCAGAAGGGATTTAACGTGGCAGCTTCATGTGGTGGTGGGGTGGATTCCTCTCAGTTCAGCGAATACGTGCTGTGTCGCGAAGACAGACGACCACAACCCACTCCAACGATCAGAATAAAACAGGAGCCCCTGGACTAGACCCTACCCATACTCCTTTGTAACCATAGAAGTGTTTAATAGTCCCTTATGTGAAACACAAAGGATTTGCAAAACAGTATTAGCAAACAGATTTTGACTTTATGTTGCCAATTAGTGGTATTCTGAAACTACCTGTCACATAGCCAGCCATGAAATGCATTTGAAAAACCAGTTGTCCGTTTTTCACGATGAAATACTGAGCGTGCTCAGCATACCAGGTTTGGTGGGAATGTACTTTGAGCTGAACAGCTGTGGTGGTGAAAAGGCAAAGCTTCATAAACCTCTGACCCTAGATTGGACTTCTGTGGAAAGACCAATTAAAGTGATTTGAATCTATCAGCAGGAGAAATGATTCCGACAGCCTTTCCAACGATACCCTGACATGTGATGCGTGGAAGTGGGGGCCTCCAAGAGGAAGATGGTACATTAAAAACTGCACTGAGTACCTTCCCTGACTGCCACACCTCCTTCATATCAGATGTGCTTTACACCTCCACACGTTACATTACACTACACTTCTGTGATTGTACTCCTTCATGCTAGCAAATGGCTTATTTTTATACAACATTTCCAACTGAAATATCTCTGTGGACAGAATCCAGAACCAGAAAAGGACCAATTTATAGTCAACTGGTGCTCAGTATTAAAAAACAAACAAACAGACCAAACAAAAAAAGCAACATAAAATTGACAAGGCCAATTATGGCAATACTTGCAAAAGTAGGGATCTGGAAGCACAAAATAAAACTCCATCTACCATCAAACAAGGGCCACATACCTATTGTGGAGCTGTAGTTCTCTTAAAGCCAGTCGTGTTTTGACTCAGAAACTGTAAGTTTTGCATCATCAAAGAAGCGTGGTTCTCCCAAGCAAGCTCTGCCACCTCTTGTTGTTCATTTACTAACCATGTTATAAGCCCACATTTTCAAGGAAACATTAAGAATTTTGGACAAGCTATTCTTTATAGGTCTGGAATTTTTGCAAAAAGATGTTAAAAACCTCTACTTCCACTGTCTGATGAAAGCAGGCCATGTTTTGTTTAGAGTGCTTTCCTCTATTATTTTAAACTATTATTAAAATACTGATTCTGTAGCTGCCCTCTACCTGTTTAATTGTATTTTTAAAGAAGCCCACGGTCTGTAGGAGGTTACTCTTCCTTTCATGAATCAGTATCGACTCTCTGACTTACAGGGCTTCCTAACTCAGGAGACAGCACCATGTTTGCAGGTGCAAGGTTATAAATAGCATTCTGCTAAATCCTGTTTATTGCTGTTTAGCATGATTGGGTCCTCAATAAGTAATTCATGTGTTAATCACAATTTAGTTTCTCCCACATTAATTTATAGAATACTGTTGTAGATGCTGAATTTTAATTGAACGTTTTAGATGTGTAAATGCAGCCATATATAACAGTATTAAATGGTTGACAGTTCTTTAATACCAAATGATTGCAATCAGACAAAATAAAGATTGAAGTTTAAGACTAATATTTTCAAAAGTGATGAGCTGTAGTAAATATCCAAGTTACGGTCTAGGCAGAGGTCTAATTTTTGGAAAAGTGCTGGATACCTGACCATAGAAAATCAGACCTCTGCAGGTTTTTTTCATCTTGGTTACCCAAACCAGAGATCTCTTATGAAAATCTTAGCCTATACATATTGGCCTGCTAACTTAGCAGAACAGTTGAGCAAATCTGTCTACTTCAGAAGAGTTGTAAAGTTATTTTATTTTGTGGTTTTATACTTGTATGACATTCTAAAGTTCCTAGGCATTGCCATATTTGAATATATGGCACAGCGTTCACCTTTGTATGTAAGATATCTGTAGAATTGTATATTATACATTTAATATTGTAAAGAACTTAACGTATAATTGTCATGTATTTGTGTATGCACATTTCTTATACAGTACTTCATGCCATAAACATTTCTGTAAAGTAAATGATCAAAAATAAGCAAGTAGGGTGGAACACTCACTGTATTTCCCCTGTTGTTCGAAAGGTGAGAAGTTTTGATTGCGTCTCCTCTGGCCTTTTGCTCCGTTCAGCTTGATGTAGCCTTGTCCTACAAAAAGAAAAGAAAAAAAAGGATGTTTTATTTATTACTTTCATACATTGAGTTCACTTTAAGTTCAAAACTTAAGTAATCTGTTCAGCTTCTTGTTTTTAGCCTATATACACTTTTGTCCCACACTCCTGACAGGGATACTTAGTACTAGCAGAGGCTGAACACTTGTCTGTGTATCCTCTTCCATTCATTACCTCTCAGCTAGGGGATAAAGGTGAACATGTCACATTTATGTTTAAAAATGCTCAGTTCTGCCATTCTTACTCAGGCAAAGCCTTCCCTGAGGTCAGCACAAGTTGTCTGCAAGTCAGACCGGACACTGAGTACCTGCAGGGTGCTGAGCACATCCTGCTCCCGTTGAAGTTGCAGGCAGACAGCTCTCTCACAAGGTTGGAAGCAGGATGCTTTCAGATATATGTAGAAAGCCATTTGAAGTATTTGTGATTGGTTGGTTTGTTTTTCTTCAGTTTGGTGTTTACCGTATTCTTTTTTATAGGTCAATAAAGCAGCTCGAGTACTTACAGCAGTTTGCAAAGGTGGCATCATGAAAAGTTCCAGGCTGCACCAACCGAGTTAAATGTGAACTTGAGATGGAAAGTTTGAGCCATGACATCACAACATTAACTGTAAAATAGCACTAAGGCAAGGAAGACATGTGGAAACAATCACTTTGTTAGAAGAAATATGCCTTTTTTTAAAAAAAAGTTAAGCTAGGACATGTTCTTTTAGTTAGTAACTTCAGGTCACTTATTTAAAGTTTATTACAGTTTCATTTATATCTTTTTTACTTATTTCCCTGTATTCTTATGCAGCAATATCAGCATAAACTGATTTGAATTTCTACTTCTGGCCTTAAACCATAGCAACATAACTTAATTAAGAACATTGCTCAGTGTCACTAAAACAGGTTTTAAAATATCATAGAAACTCCAATAAAACTGTGTTGTGCAGCCAGCAAATGTTTTTATTATGAAGGCCAAAAAGTAAACATAGCCTGGTTTTAACCTAATTTGATGGAACAAAATTGTTCTGATCCTTTTTTTTTTTTTTTCCTGAGCACTGAAACTGTGGCTTGAAGAACATTAGTCTTTGCTAGCACTATTTGTACAACCCTGTTACACCACTCGGCTCCCAAGTCTCAGAAAAAAAAAGTGAAAGAATGTTATGTTGTGCTTATTGGACTAATTGCTTTTGAAAAAGCAACTGTTGAGTGCATTCATTCACTGTATTAATAGCATCAAGGTTTGTTGACAATTTTATTAGATGTTTGACAAAGGATAAGAATCAGCACAACAAAACATTGGAGTATTTGGTTTTAATATTTCTTTGTGGGTATTCTGTTAATATTTTAATGCAAAATGTTTCTGAACAGTGCTTAAGAACTACAAGACAATGTGAAATTCATGTTTGATAAATTAATACTGTATGTCACTCGATGTGTTACTTTAGTAAATTGTTTTATTTCTTTACAAAATAAGTACAAATAAGGGAGTATGTTTTCACACAAATTGGGGGTATTTACGAGTATGTACAGAAATCATCAAAATAACGTAATTCTAATAAACACAAGGCCTTTATAAACAATATGTACAAATTATCAATACATTTAAAACATAATTTTACACTTCCTGGCCTTAAATACCTTATGAATAATCTTTTGGCTAAATAGCAGCAGTATAAATTTTCTTCTGCTTTTCATAAACCTTAAAAAATAATTAAAACTTTTGTTTTTAAAACTATTGGACAAATAGTTCTATTTGTGCTTTCGCTATGGTTTCCCATCAAAAAAAAAAAAATATTGCCTCAAAAAAGTGGCAAGCAAAACATAGTAAAAATTGAAAAGATAAATAAGCAAATGTCTCCCTTCCATGGTTACTGATAATACTGTTAGGTTTGAAGTACAACTTCTGCCCAGCTTCTTACTTAACATTCCTATCTGTACCCATTTAAAAGACTCACACTAACTTTGCTCGGCTTTGGTGTGGGCCCCTTAAATTCCAATTCAGCAAAGCATTTAAAAAGCATTCCTCCCACCTTTAAGTACTTAAAACTACCCATATGCTTAAAGTCATGCACTTGTTCATGAGCCTCTCTGGACTGGAGTCCTCAGGTCCAATCGTCCAAGGCAAAGCATCGCCAGTCCCTGCAGCGCTGCCCCAACCGCCCAGTGGCACTGAGCTCGCAGGAGTCACCCCTGCTCTCGTGACAGCTACTAAAAGTGGAACTGGATCCCAGAATCTTCCTTTACTGTGACTTGAAAAATCCATATAGAATACTCTAAAACCTTTACTGAACAATACTCTCCTTTAAAACCACCATTAAACCATACTCTGCAATAAATAAATTAAGATTTTAGAAAATAAAATGATTCATGTTACTAACCAGCTGCTACAAATGTGCAAAAGGTTGAATAGATTCAGAAAACAACTGGAAGCTAGTCAAGGTAACTCCACTGGGACCCAAATGCACAGATTTCATACACTTAGGATTTGGTTCAGCAAATGGCTCAGGAAAAGAGCTGTGCAGTAAAAGCAAAAATCCTAAATATATAAAATTTGTGAGAATGTGCATTGGCTATTCTTTTAGCTGTGCAAAAAAATGCAATTAGAACTAATCTAAAATAACATCAGGTATCACCATGGTTAGTCATTGGAAACAGTGCTAGTAAACCTAAAAGGAAAAGAAAACCAGCACCATAAATGAACAAAAAGGTCAATCCCCTGGTTAGGTCCCAATTCTGTGAACCTGTCCCAATCCTCCTTGCTATGAGATGGTTTATGTAAGCCATTGCAGCAGTCTTTCCATTTGTGTAACTTCAATGCCATCTATTTTAGCCTTATCTAAAATGGCCAAATGTAGTAAGACTTTGAAGTTGGTTACATCTGTGAATTTAACATTTTAAAACCTTTTGCACATTTTTTTCTTTCTTTTTTCTTTCCTTTTTTTAATTTTTACATAAAGGGAATTTATTGCATGTGTCTGACAATTTTACAAAACAAAATTACTGGAACATTGACTTCTGAAAAAAATAGAAGGCACATTAAAATGACAGCTTTTCAATGCAAGTTGAGCTTCTGTATGGAGAAATCAGTACAATTCTTGGCTTTACTTAAGCAGAGCTCGATAGAGCAGGAGAGAATGGCTCGTTTCTCTTTCCTGTTCCATGTAGAAGATGAAGTCCCTGAGGTTTACGCGAGTTATTTTCTGTCGGGCATACTGCCTGGATGAAGGAGTCCCCAAGCCAGCCTGACTTCCACCAGACATACTGAGGCCCTACAAAGAAAACACAGCAGAGTTCAAAGTCCTGCAACAGTGGAGAGTCCTCCAACTCTCAGGTTTACAACCACTAACTGCTGGATTATTTTAAATGCCTACATGTATTATGAGCCTCATTCTGAAAGTATTACATGACTCTCTTCTTCTTCTTTTTTTTTTTTTTTTTTCCTTTTCTGTTCTTCTGAGCCTCAGCAAGTTAACCAGAGTAAAGAAACATGTGAAAACATGCACACGAGACTAGACCTTGTTTATTTACAACACAGGACAAACATATCTGGCTAATTCTCCTGCTACAGTCATGTTAGCCGTAGATGTAATTGACCACTACAATTTGAAGAGACTTTTTTTGGACAAAATTAATTGCAGTAGATAAAGGCATCTTTGGTGTATCAAATGTGTGCACAATGCTATTCCAAATCCTGTCTAGGACTGGAAAGAGGTGAGTGGTGTACCGGTATGTTGCTACTGCCATAATAACCTCAGCAGTTCCATGGGGACCTCCATTATCTCCTCTGGGCATACTGAAGAAAAAAGGCTTGCTATGAGGAGATACTAAACAATCTTGCCAGAGAACACAATGCTCAGCTGAAAGGTTGGAAAATTAAGTACAAAAATTGCAAGGAAAACTCAGACATTTAAGATGATAAAGACAAAAATTGATGTAATGTTTTCTAGTGCTATATTAAATCTCTTGTTAGTTTTATTATAATTGGTCCAAAGCTACTGAATTAATGAATACTTCATTCTGGCCTTCTGTATAGAAATAGAATTCAAAAACTAGGGGCCAGAGCACACTATGATCTGAATATTTAGAAATTAAAAGGACATAATTTATAAACTCCGCAGTCTTGTTGAGTTTAGAAGAGAAACGTGCTAGATGGATAGATTCAACCCTTTTTTGAAAAAAAAAAAAAAGGCCATTATTTTTAGTGCTTCCAATTGATTTCTGGTGAAATAAAATGTTCTGACTTACAGAAGTAGACTTTAATCCATAAAAAGGTTTAAATTATTTTTCAAACCTCTAAAGCATCTGGCACAGTTTTCAAAACTTTTTAAATACCTACTTCAAATTTACTTACTGCTGCTCTTAACTTACCTTTCTTTGTCCAGGGAATACTTATTGTAGGATCTTGATTCTAGCCATTAAAAATACAGTTAAGCATAATTTTAGTACTGAAAGGTTGTAGAGGATACAAACGTGGTATATTGCAAGTAAGACATAACACTGTTTTCACTTTTCTCTCTGTGTACTGGCAAAATCAGACTCACCTGCAAACTATACTGCTCAAGTTATTTCTACTATATCTGGCTATTAAATTACAGTAGTGGGGCAAATCCTATTCTCTTACAACCACAAAAAATGCTTAATGTAGTTAAATGAATGTGGCTAAGCTTAGAGGCAAGAGAAGGAGAAGCCCACAACCTTCGAGTGCCATGAGCATTTGGTCTTAGGATTTCTGTTCTCCAGTATAAAGTAGCTTTTGTTAATAGATTAATTGATTTACCACCTAGCCTCACTGCTCATAGGAAAAGCATGTGCTGCAGCTCCAAGGGTTGCTCATCCATGCTGAAGACAGACACATCCCCAGTGCACAGTCCATTAGTGGTGCTCTGAATTTATTCAGCCCT